CTTTTTTCAAAAAATTCGACACAATGTGTTCGAATTAATGATCCAAGTATGAATTAAATTTCGATTAGAAGGATTTCAAAGTTGGATCTTTTTTCAAAAAATTCGACGACTACGATTGTTCCAATTGAGGAAAAAATATAAAGGTTCGAGCTCGTTTCCTGTACAAAACGAGTGTTATTCAACCAGCCATGGAAACAATACGCATCGAGTTTGTCACGAGCAGATGTGGCCAGGGTGGACCGACTACCACGTATTCAGACGTATTCACGACTTGGCCATAAGTTAAACCACTCGTGTAAATTTCCTAAATTCGAGTACGTTGCGCGATTTATTTTTACATCTGTACGCAAAATATTTATCTTTCTCGTTCAACGTTCTCGATCATCCCCTCCCCTCCTCCTCTTCTTCCTCGTCTCGTGATACAGAAGGGGTGATAATTATTTTATTTAGATTTTTTAGATTATTTAGATTATTTTAATTAGATTTTTTTTGTGAACCGTGAAAATGAACGAACGAACGAAGGAAGAAAAAGATAGGCAAAGTACGCACGTTCTTTTTCCAGGATAGACACGCAATCGGCCCAGAAGAACGAGAGTTTTTTCCAGTGCTGCAGCGGATTCTGCATCGATCTTCTGCAAAAGTTCTCAGAGGAGATCGGGTTCACTTATGAGCTCGTCAGAGTGGAAGATGGGAAATGGGGCACGTTGGAGGTAATTAATTATATTTATTCTCTTCTAATCGAGTGGACAAACGTCAGAGCGCGAATGTAATTGATCAACGGATTAATTTGAAGAGAAGAGAGAAATATTGGTAAATTCAATTCGATATTAAAATAAAGTTTATATATATGTATATATTTTTTTTTCAGATTATTGTTCCACAAGTTAGACTTGTTGATGAACGTTATAAACGAATCGTAGGATTTCATGAAATCAATTGCGAATTCTTAATCCGGAGAAATGGAAAGGAATTAGTTTCGATAATAACGGTGAAGAAGCGTCTTGGAAATTGGAACCGCGGATTCGATATCGCGAATCCTTTTTAATCCTCGTCGATAGAATTGCAATTACGTTCATTGATAACGCGGACTCGTGTCCCAATTACATTTTTATTCCCAATGAACGAAAAAAATTTCAGATTTCGATCGTTTCGAAGACTTCTGTGTGTCTGAAACGTGTTAAAAATTATCTTTGTATGACAAAATTTAAAATCAAAAAATCGATCGATATTTCAAGAATAAATCCTTTTTTTTTCGATATTAAATCGACTTAAATAAAATATTCAATTTTAATCAGAGGTGATTTTTATTTTCAACGAACGAAAAAAACTTTCGGATTTCGATTCTTTCGAAGACTTCCATGTTAAAAATTATCTTTGTATGACAAAATTTAAAATCAAAAAATCGATCGATATTTCAAGAATAAATCCTTTTTTTTTCGATATTAAATCTACTTAAATAAAATATTCAATTTTAATCAGAGGAGGATGATTTTTATTTCCAACGAACGAAAAAAACTTTCGGATTTCGATCATTTCGAAGATTTCCGTGTGTCCGAAAAAATTATCTTTGTATGACAAAATCAAGAGATTGATCGATATTTCAAGTTCTTTTTTTTTTTTTTTCGATATTAAATCGATTTAAATAAAATATTCAATTTTAATCAAAGGTGATTTTTATTTCCAACGAACAAAAAAAACTTTTGGATTTCGATTGTTTCGAAGACTTCCGTGTTAAAAATTATCTTTGTACGAACAAAATTTAAAACTACCACTAAAATCAAAAGATCGATCGATATTTCAAGTTAAATCCTTTTTTTTCGATATTAAATCGATTTAAATAAAATATCCAATTTTAATCAAAGGAGGATGATTTTTATTCCCAATGAACTTGAAAAAAATTTTCAAATTTCGATCGTTTCGAAGACTTTCGTGTGTTAAAAATTATCTTTGTACGACAAGTACAAAATTTAAAACTAAAAATCAAAAGATCGATCGATATTTCGAGTTAAATCCTTTTTTTCCGATTTAATAATAAAATATTTATTTCTAAATTTTAATCAGAGAAGGGTGAATCCTCCTGATTCGTTGAATTCCACTTCCGGTGATAACTTTTCTCGTATAAAATATAAATATAACAATAAAATGAAATATAATACATTAATTCTGTTTTGCAGAATGGGAAATGGAACGGTTTGATAGCCGACCTGGTGAATCGGAAAACAGACATGGTGATGACATCTCTGATGATCAATTCGGAAAGGGAAGCTGTGGTCGATTTCACGGTGCCGTACATGGAGACAGGTATCGCCATCGTGGTGGCGAAGAGGACTGGTATAATATCTCCCACTGCCTTCCTCGGTAAATAATCCCCGGCAAATTAAATCGAAAACGTAAAAATAAAATCCATTACCATTGTCCCTCTTCCCTCGAGATAAAAATTTTTATCCGTGTCCAATATCATCACATTTATATTTCATTTCCAGAACCATTCGACACCGCGTCTTGGATGTTAGTCGGGATCGTGGCCATACACGCGGCCACGATAATGATACTTCTGTTCGAATGGTTGTCACCATCCGGTTTCAACATGAAGGTAAACCCTTCAGACGCTGCGCAGAAACTATTGGTATTACTATTAATTTCGCTTCTTATTAGCTAGCCCATGCTTTCCATTCTAAAAACACGAGGAACACGAGAATCCTAAATTACCTGTCGCGCCATTAATCTAAACGACGCGCGTCACGTTTCCTCGTCGCATAGGGGAAAAGAGATAGATCGCGAGTCGACACTTTTCCCACGATCTTTCTTTCGCAAGAACACGCTTCGTCTTTTTCCTCTTCTTTTTCTTCTTTTTCTTCTTCTTTTTTTTTTTTTTTTTTTTTCCTTTTAAATGAAATTTCTAAAACACTCGGTTCGGTCGGTACTCATTCGAGATCGCAGACAAGTCGCCTCCGTCGATAAAGAAGATCCAATGGAAAGGAATTAAGAAATAATAATCATATCAATTTTGTTACAACTTCTTGTAAATCCTATAAAAAAGTTATACACAATGTTTATTTATACACAATTATACACAAAATAAATTTTGAATCCCGACAAAGCTATAACTAGACGCTAGACTAGAACGTTTTCTTATTATTGCAACGTTGCCGCTGTGTAAGAATGTGGTGTAATTCGACGAAGGACGAGACTGGTTTTTTTTCCATGATTGCAGAAGAATCCATCGCCCAACCATCGGTTCTCCTTTTGTCGGACGTACTGGCTGGTCTGGGCCGTATTATTTCAGGCAGCCGTCCATATCGATTCTCCCAGGGGATTCACAGCCAGGTAAAACAATTTCTATCGTCAATTAAAATCCTCGACGCAAATCGTAGCTCGCGGCAAGGTTAGAGTGATGGAATCGAGAAAGAAACACCGTTGTTTAACCGTTGTTTCCTGTGTCGAGGAGGGGATCGTAGGAACAAAAGTAGGAGTATTTGCATTACTTTACGAATTTGTGTGTCCTTTCTTCCGTTCTTTTCGCTTTAAATAATACGAATTTATCAGATTCTCGGTATTTGGAAATAATTTTAAAAAAGGAATTTTTATACGTTTGAAATATTTCACGAAATAATATAGATTTCTTGCTCGAATGATATATCTTTCAATTCGATATCGTGAAATAGAAAATTATATATCTGAACAATTAAATTTTCTCTTCTTCGTGTCTTTTACTTTTCTCGATATTGCCATTTGAAAATTTAGAGATTTAAAAACGAATTTTTATACCTTTATATATTATATATCTGAATTAAATTTTCTCTTCTTCATTTCTTCTACTTTTTTCGGTTTAAAATATAAATTTACTTTTCTCGATACTGCCATTTGAAAATTTAGAAATATTTAAAAACGAATTTTTATATCTTTATATATTATATATCTGAATTAAATTTTTTCTTCTTCGTTTCTTCTACTTTTTTCGGTTTAAAATATAAATTTACTTTTCTCGATACTGCCATTTGAAAATTTAGAAATATTTAAAAACGAATTTTTATACCTTTATATATTATATATCTGAATTAAATTTTCTCTTCTTCATTTCTTCTACTTTTTTCGGTTTAAAATATAAATTTACTTTTTTCGATATTGCTATTTGAAAATTTAGAGATTTAAAAACGAATTTTTATACCTTTATATATTATATATCTGAACAATTAAATTTTTTCTTCTTCGTTTCTTCTACTTTTTTCGGTTTAAAATATAAATTTACTTTTCTCGATACTGCCATTTGAAAATTTAGAGATTTAAAAACGAATTTTTATACCTTTATATATTATATATCTGTATATACAATTAAATTTTTTCTTCTTCATTTCTTCTACTTTTCTCGATTTAAAATATGCCATTTAAGATATTGCCATTTGGAAATAATTTAGAGATTTAAAAACGAATTTTTATATCTTTATATATTATAATCACATTTGAAATATTTCACGGGATTTGTCTACGCGGAAATATATATCTGGTCAATTAAATTTCCTCTTCTTCGTCTCTTCTACGTTCCTCGGTTTAAAATATGAATTTATCAGATTCTCGAAAACGAATTTTTATACGTTTAATCGCGTGTGAAATACTTTAACACGGGGCTGTCTACGCGAAGAGATATACATCTGGTCAATTAATGAATATCGCGCTCACAAACGCAAGAGTAAAGAAAAAAAATATTCGAAAAGTGTTTCGAATCGGGAAGATGATATCTCAACGTTGGACAACGCGGATTGAGAACGAAATATAAGTCCCTCCAATGGCGGAGAGTGTTCTTATGCCAGAAGAAATTGTATTCAACGTTATTCGTGAAAAATGAACATTTTTATTTATTGCACGCCATATTATTTCTCGGCCGCGTGGTTGGAATTCAAAACATACGGAACACCGTGTGAATTATTTCGCACCGCCATTATTCTCGAAAATATACACCGTGTTTCCACAATTCTGTTACGTTCAGAAAAGCAGATCGATTTGTTGATTTAAAAATGAGACGAATATATATATATATATAACGGAATTTTTTCGTACATTATTTATCTCTCTATTTTGTTTCAAGTCGCCAGAAGAATTCGGGATTAAAATATTCCTTTTTCGATTTGTTCCATTTCGATCTCGAGGATGTATAATAATAATAATGGAAATATTTTATATTTCTCTTCTTGTATTTTCTCTGTTTAAACAGAGAAAAATGACGGTGTATTCCTGTGGAAATGTAATATTGTTACAGTGGATGAAGGAATGCTCGTAAATAAAAGTCTCGAAACATGTATACGTTATTACAGTAGAATTATTAATACACGATCCGCCATCCATGTTATCGAAAAATATAAAAATATTTTGCGCAGCTTGAAACGTACATCAAAAAATTTGTCCACGAGTCGTGAGGTCATCGAGATTTTTTTTCTTTTTTTAATTAATTTATCAACCTATACGAATCTGGATGTAATTTAAAGATTGATCGAAGTGTTGATAAATTTTCCATTTATTCCATTTTGGACAGATATCGAATTTTGAGTTTCGAGTCTCGAATCGATCTCATAATTCAATCCCCTTCTTTTTCGAGAAGATCTTTAACTGGGTTTGAAAGAATATTGGAAAAACTCTTCTTAGAGTTTAAGTTCAAAGATGAAGGAAAGAGAGTAAGAATTTCAACGGTCGTTTCGAAGGGGCGTGAGAGTTTTTTTAAAAAGTTTGTCTTCGACTCAGATTCATGACAAACGTGTGGGCGCTATTTGCCGTGGTGTTTCTCGCCATTTACACTGCCAACCTGGCCGCATTCATGATCACGAGGGAGGAGTTTCACGAATTCACGGGCGTGGACGATCACCGTTTGGCCAAACCTTGGTCCCACAAGCCTATGTTCAAGTTCGGTACGATACCTTGGAGCCATACCGACAGCACGTTGGCCAAATACTTCAAGGAGATGCACACGTACATGAAGGAGTTCAACAAGAGCAGCGTGGCCGAAGGGATCGAGGCGGTTATCAGCGGGTAAGTCAATTTATCGACGTTGTTTTATTATGTAAAACTTATGAATCATAAAGTTTTGATTTTTTTCGTTCCAATGTTGGTCTTTTGGAAATATCCTAAGATATTATTATTTGGATTTTCTTCCATTTTTCATAATCCTAATTTTAGAGAGATTTTTTTTCGTTCCAATCTTTTGGAAATATTCTAAGATTCTTTGGATTTTCCTCCATTTTTCATAATTTCAATTTTAAATAGATCTTGGATTTTTTTTGTTCTAATCTTTTGGAAATATCCTAAAATTCTTTGGATTTTCCTCCATTTTTCATAATTCCACTTTTGAATAGATTTTGGGTTTTTTTCGTTCTAATGTTGGTTTTTTAGAAATATTTTAAGATATTATTATTTAGATTTTCTTCCATTTTTCATAATTCCAATTTTAGATAGATTTTTTTCGTTCCAATCTTTTGGAAATATTCTGAGATTCTTTAGATTTTCCTCTATTTTTCATAATTTCAATTTTAAAGATCTTGGATTTTTTTCGTTTCAATCTTTCGGAAATATCCTAAGATTCTTTGGATTTTCTTCCATTTTTCATGATCCCAATTTTAGATAGATTTTGGATAGATTTTTTTCGTTCCAATGTTGGTTTTCTAGAAATATCCAAAAATATTATTATTTGGATTTTCCTCCATTTTTCATAATTCCAATTTCAGATAAATTTTGAATTTTTTTCATTCCAATATTGGTTTTTCGGAAATATCCTAAGATTCTTCGGATTTTCTTCCATTTTTCATAATTCCAATTTCAGATAAACTTTCCGATTTTTTTCATTCTAATGTTTTCAAAAATATCCTAAAATATTATTCTTCTATCTTTCTTTCCCCAAAGATTCCCATATATTTTCTCGTACAACAGATTCAAAAACATAATTTATAAATAATTTACAATAAAAGTAATAAATCACCTAAAAATCACCTTTGTATCTTTTCTTTTTATCTAATTTATATTAAAACCAATGTTTAATCCAACGCGAAGAACGATATTAACGTGTTTAAACTGTTTAAAAAAAGGGGGAGAGGAGAAGAATCGAACGTTTCGAAACGTTACAACAAAAGTAAGACGTGTTAATAAATCGTGTTAAAACTTGGTCGAATGGTCGCTTAAACGCGGTAAATGCGAACGTATTACGTATACGTGGCTCGTTATCGAAGTTTCCGCGGCGGAGTTGCTCGTTTAATCTCGGCGAGTTAGTTCCATCGGGCTTGGCCCGCGATCAGTGGATGGAGCCGCGTTTCAGACGGTTGGCGACAAAGGTGTTGCGACAAGCGGTGTAAATTATAGCGCGCGAAACGGGGAATAGATGACTCTTCCGGGGGAAAGGAGGGCGGAAAGGAGATAAGCTTTCACCCAAATTCGGAATATTATTAAGCGAGAGAGTCGGACTTTTTAATGAAATTCGGATTAAAACTAATTTGGAAACGTTGGATCGAGTTTAATTAGATCAAAGTTGGAACGCGGTTGTCTCAGATTTTATGGTAATTTTAGAATCGCGCAATTAACTTCTCAGCTCTTACGGTTATTACTCCACGATTCTTGTTTATTTTCATCCTTCCTTCTCTCTTCCTTCTTATCTTTTTGTTCCCCTTGCGATGAACAAGAAATCTAGGAGTGGAAAAACGAGAGGGGAGAAAAATGCTAAGCGAATCCAAATTTAGAATAGCGACGTATTAAAAAAATAAAATTCAATAAAAAAAGAAAGGAAAAGGGAGAAAGAAAATTAAAAATGGAAGGTTGCATTAATGCACAACGTTAGTAGGTTAAGTGCCCATTCTTTCAATTTCATTGAAATTTCCAATCAAATTTCTCTCGATGGAAATTCTTCTTCAATTTTTATCAAAAGAAAATTTGAAAAAATCACGGTGATAACCAATTAACAATTTAGATTATTAAATCTAGAAGAAATTTCTCGGGAAGAAACTCGGAGGAATGAAGTGTCGAGAAGGAGAGAGATCGTTGATGATCGAGAATGAATCGAGCCGTTTCGAGTTTTTCAATTTTTCTGACCAACATCGTTTTTTCCGACAGAGAGATGGACGCGTTCATCTACGATGGAACGGTCCTCGACTACCTGGTGGCGCAGGACGAGGACTGCCGGTTGCTAACCGTTGGATCTTGGTACGCCATGACCGGATACGGCCTCGCCTTCTCCAGGAACTCCAAGTACCTGCAGATGTTCAACAAACGTCTCCTCGACTACAGGGACAACGGTATCTATACTTTATTTTCTCCGATCATTTCGATTCGAATCTTTTTCCTCGTACAAACGAAAAGGATTCATAATCGAGATCGAAAGAAACTTCCTTCGAAAATTTACTCGTCCAACGTTGATATTTTCATTGTCGAAAAAAAAAAAAAAAAGAAGAAGAAGAAAAATCTCGTTAGCAAGCGCAATTTAGAGAAGAATATTCTTTTTATTATCCCCCCTACATCTTCAATTTCTTTTGAAAATGAAAATATAATTTGAGAATTTTTTCTTGGACGAGAAAGAAATTCCTCGACGACCCAATTCGATTCTCTCTCTTCTCGACCAAGAAATGGAGATACTTTATTTTTTCCCTCCCTCCCTCTCTACCCATTTTTCACATTACGTATATTCCACCCGTTAAAGGGAAGAATAACTAAAATTGCAGGGGACTTGGAACGGCTGAGGAGGTACTGGATGACGGGGACGTGCAAACCCGGCAAAGAGGTGCAAAAGAGCAGCGATCCCCTGGCGCTCGAACAATTCTTGTCCGCTTTCCTTTTATTAATGATGGGAATCCTTCTTGCCGCTGCCTTCCTGCTATTGGAACATTTGTATTTCAAATACGTAAGGCAGCATCTGGCGCGAAGCGACGGCGGCGGTTGTTGCGCGCTTTTCA